AAGTAATCGAAGCTGTAAATGGTTATTTTGAGGAGCTTGACGAATCAGTCTATAGAGATGGCATTAATAGACTGGAACACCGCTATGAGAAATGTATCAGCCTTGGAGGAGATTATGTTGAGAAATTAAAAAAAAAATTTTTAAAAACCTTGTTTTTCTTGGTCAGGCCGGAAACTTATCAATCCACCCTCGTATATCAGGTGTTTATCGACCTGGAAGTGCAGTGGTTAGCAAAGGTTTAGGACCATATTGTTTTCAGACTAAATATAATATACCGTTTACTCGTATTGAAAAACATTTACCATTAGTATGGCCAATTTGCAAACTATTGGGTACAAAAAACTGACGCCCAACGTGGGGCTCGAACCCACGACCCTGAGATTAAGAGTCTCATGCTCTACCGACTGAGCTAGCCGGGCTGGTGCCGTTTTGTTTCTGAGTCAGGATGAAGAAGAAATTAATTATGATTTCCATTTTTTGTTTTTTCAAGATACATTTTAATAAAATTTACTCTTAACTTTTCTAACTTAAAATACCTAACATCGGTAATTTTTTACATTAGTTGACATTGGAATTGAGACATGAAGTTTAGTCAGGTAGATAGTACTGACCAAGTAGAATCGTGTGGTAGCATTAATTCCGTGCGGAAATCAATGTAGCTTGAGATACAGGCTCCTAAAGTCATTTAATCGGAGGAAATTTCGATTGGTACGGCCCTGGCTGCAGCCCTTCGTCAGCTGTTCTCGCCAAATATGCATTGATGACGTCATTGTTTAGTTAGGTAGATGTATGACAGACTCGAGTTTGTTTAATGCCCCTGCCCGCCGAAGGCGGGCTGATACATTAGAATAATGTTAGGAAGATATGTTTTAGGACAAACGATGTTTGGCGGGAACAGCTGACGGAAGGCTGAAGCCAGGGCCGTACCTACCGGAATTTCCTCCGATTAAGAAAACTTTAAGGGCCTGTATCNTAGATATATATATAACAATGTAAGGTCAAATATTCTACACAAGTTGTCATGAAATATTTTAAAAGTTAATTGTAAGAATACAAAAAATATCACATGAACATTATTTCGTTTGCTCTCCACTAATTTCTTTTAGAACTTCTCCTTTCAGCCTTGGATGTAAGCTGACCTTTCCAAATTTGGCACTTGAATATTTTTTTCTGATGGCTGGATATTTTGATATTTCCATTTTCATGACAGTTTCAGCAAGCTTTGGTATTATACATTTAAAAGCTCTGTATTCATGGCCAGAGTAATATATCATAGTTTCAGTCCAAAAAGTGGAAGGATCAGTACAGTCATTAAAAATTGCTTGTACTAAACAAAATGTAGCTGCTGCTTGACAAGAAGGCCTATAATGGCATAAATTATACTCAAGTAAGCATAGCTCAAGGAAATATTTCCCTACAGAGTGTTCTTCAGCTGTTACTCCAGCTATTTTATTGTATCGTCTTAGGAAATGAATTGATAATGGCCTACTGAAATCAAATTCAAGTTTCTTTATAATTTCTCTTTCTGTTGCTAAAACCTGCTGCCTGCTATACATATCATCACAAATGTATACAATTTCTTGCACTTCTGGCCAATACAATTCCTCATATTTACCAGCAATCAACATTCCTGTGCTTCCCACTAACTGTAAAGTTTCACGGTCCACTTTCTTGTTTTGCTGAAGGTATCTATCTACTATTGCCACAGACATGTGCAAAGTTTCAAGCAAATATCCAAAACTTATTGCAACTTCAACCATCCAATTAACTAAAATGGATCTCATTCTTGGTGTTGTTGCATGTGAATCCAAAAAGTCTTCTTTAATCATGCATTTTAGTTCCAATTCAAGTAAATATGCATAAATGTCTTTAACATAATTGCTTACTAATTGTGGATCATTCTTATCATTTACATCTGCATCTACTATATTTGTCAGCCTTTGCCTTGAGTACGAAATTTCATCTTTCTTTACCTCTGTTCTGGTGCTAATTAGTAGTGCCTGTTTAAGATTTATGTTTTCTCTATTTTCCAAATGATATGATTTAACTATATCCTTGATCACATTTTTTTGTTTTGTTGCTTCAGCATTTTTCACCCCTTTTAAGTCTTTTACTTGAGCGTTAACATCTTTTTTAAGTGCTGATTTTTTATCCAATAAACTAACTTGAGAGGATTTCTTCTCTAAATTTATCTGTGTATTTTTTTTTAAGTCAACATTTTTCAGTGTGTTGGATGTTTGGTTTTGTTTTACATGTATTTTGTTCCCTAATTCTCCCAATGCGGTCCTTTTTGCAACAACTGGTTTCACAGGATGAGCCACTTTACTTGGGAAACGTTGTATATTTTCCCGATTTAAAGTGCTATTTTCTAAATTTCTTATTCTAGACGCCATCTGCAGATGAAATTGAAACAAAATGTAAAATTAAGCCCCTAGTATTGTCTTAAAAAAAAATATTTTTCAAAAATAAAGATTTTAGAAAGCTCGCCATATTTTCAACCGTTATCTTTAAATGTCCAAACTTACTACATTTCCTACAGTTGTAAAATAAACTGCTCTAAAGTTCAACAACTATACTTACATTATATTTAAAATCCGTTTGTAGATTTGTAAAAATTATAAATATAAAACAAAGTTTAAATATTTTTCAAATCTCTTTCTCACATGCAACGGTTTTAAAGTCACTCTAATGACAATTTCTACAACCTACAACATGAAAGCAGTTTCGACGGTATTTTAAACAAACCAATCCAGTTGCATCATATTGTCACTTGAGCTATTTATTGGCTAGTGAAAAACTAATCGGACATTATTCGGATAAATTCGCTCATAGTCGTTTTTAAACCAAAATTTAAATTATTTATCAGAGGCGGAACGTAAGTATAGAAATAGTCATTTACGATAACGAAAAAGTAAAATTATTTTTAGGGTCGAAATATTATAGAATATTTATTATAATGTATGTAAAATAGTTGCCTTAATTGAACATTATTAATCTTACACTAGTCTCACAAAATATAAAAAAGTAAGAGTACGTCCTTACAAAATATCGTAATTTGACAGCTTTTTTTCTATTACCGACAGATACCTACGCCACTGTTGTTGAGATTACTATCTTTCCGGTGAATCTGCACATCTACGGTAACTTAGTTTCATGACACATGACAGCTTTGACGAATTTTGACAGTTTAGGAAGATGGCGTTTGGAAAACTGTTGTTAATAATGTTATGGAACTTTAAGATTCAATAATAATTAATAACAATTAATGTTATATTTAAAATTTAGACAACGATATCCATTAAGCAAGGTAAGAATAATTATTTTCTTTGGTATCGTTGTGCATTTATTAATGATTTTAAGTTTATAGTTTAATTTCATTATGTGCAATTTTGTACGATATTATTTAATGAAGAATGTTATTAAAACTAAATTTGATTGCTTAATTTATAACTATTTAAATCAATGTAAAAATATTTCTTTTTAGGGGAAATGCAGTCCTCAGATGGACTTCCTGGGTCATCAGACCATCGTTTAGCTTTAGTACATGAAATGAGTTCCCATAACTTTGATTTAATCAGATTTGCTTCATATCGTACAGCTGTGAAATTACGATTCATTCAAAAAAAAGTTAGCTGTAAGTGTCCTTTTATATAATTTTAATAACACTGTTTGATTGTTAAAATTAATATTTTACTTGTAAATACTTGTTATTTATTTAACAACATGTGTGTTCTAACTAAAATCATTACCATTTAAATTATTGCTTTCTCTGTGATGTTTTTGTATGTATCTTGATTTTGTGTCTGTTTAATTTTTCATAATAAGCAGTTCATGTTTAGGCTATGAAAAAATAATAAAGCAACTTAAAACTTTTATTATCTGGAATTATATTAAAAAAATGTTGTAGTACATACAGTGGATATATGGAATGTTATAGAAGCATTTAGAGAACAGGGTTTACATACAATGGAATCATCAAATGAGCTTAGTGTGGCAAGATTAGAAACATTATTGTGTTCATTGTATCATAGTCTTAATAAGAGAGCCCCACCTACTCAACAAACACATGTAGATGTGTGCTCCAGTTTGCTTTTAAATTGGCTTTTGGCGGCATATGCTACTGTGTAAGTCTAATTTATATTATAGATCTGTATTGTAAATAAGATAAGCAGAAATACTTTGCTTCTTTTTGTTATCATAAATGAGAATAGTATAATATAATTATTGTTCTTTCTTTTTATAGTGAAAATGTGGGAAAAATTAGAGTTTTTTCAATAAAAGTAGCACTGGCAACATTATGTGCTGGGAAATTAATGGATAAATTGCGATGTAAGTTGATTTTTATTACAATTTAATTAATTTAGTGATTTGTCATAAAATTCAAAATATCTTAAAAAAAATGTTATAAAAGCAGAGTCCTAATGGCGTATTTCGTAATTGTAAAGAATTGAATGAATCTCAATGAACGTATGCACGTTATATTTTTGTAGGTTCTTTAAATATTAACTGAAATATGTATTTTTTTCAAGTCCAAAAGATAGATGATAATTTTCATTTTTTTGTTATTATTATTTGACTTTCACCATCACTTTTTAGGGAAAAGCAATTTTACTTACACCCTTTTTCCTTTTATGTGCTCAGTTATATCTATATATTATTGTTTTATAATAATTTTGATAGTTTGGAAATAAAAAAATAGTCAGTATTAGTAACTTGCAGGCCTGTAGCTGTGGGGTCAGATTACTGATACCTATCTTATTATAGCTTTTGCTTATGTTTAATTTTCCATTCTAGATATATTTTCACAAATATCTGATAGCAATGGTTTACTTATTATGTGGAAATTTAATGAATACTTAGAAGAGGTTTTAGCTCTTCCAGCAGCAGTATATGAATCTCCAACGTTTAGTTATACAGATACTTTAGCCTCCTCAATTTTTAATACTGTGAGTATTAATTTTCAATCAAAATTTCTACATAAATTCGAGAGTTACAAATAAAAAGCATATGTTTTAAAGTATTTATCTGTAAATTTTAAATAGTAATTTGGTTATTTGACTTATCTAGTAAGTGTTGCTAGTACACAAACACCAATAAAATTTGATTGATTGATACTAACTTTCAGAACGCCAAAGTTACAGTTAACGATTTTTTGGACACAATGATGTCAGATGTTGGACCTCCAGCATTAGTGTGGCTTCCTTTACTTCATCGAATTACTTCCGTCGAAAACGGTATTTTTTTTCTATTTTCCTAATTAGAAATATTTAATTATGTGTTCTATTTTTCCAGTTGTCCATCCCGTTCAATGTGATGCATGTCAAAGAGAAAACTTTACAGGATTTAGATATCGTTGTCAGAAATGTCCTCATTACACTCTCTGCCAGGAATGTTTTTGGAGAGGTCGGGTGACCTCACCTCACACTTTAGAACATCAGATGAAAGAATATGTCACTTTTGTAATTCTTTTACATATACAGAAGTTAATGTTTACATTTATATATTTTCTTTCAGTCTCCCACAAGAACTATTAGTCATTCCCTGCGAAAATCGTTTCGATGTGTTCCTGATAAACAAAAAAATAACTTGCCAAGATTTCCAGAGCAGCCAGAAAAGACATTAAACTTGTCTCATATAGTGTGAGTTGCATTTCTTTGTTGTTTGATTTAGTTAGATCAAATACAGTACAATACAGACTTTTTGTTCTATTTGTTACTATCTGTTTTTAAAGACCGCCGTCTCCTATACCTTCCCACAATGGATTTCCTGATAGCACCTTTAATACATTTGATGGTATGGGCAGTTTAGATAGCAGGACTACCGCCAGAAGGTGAAGTAGAACCGAAATTTGTTGATTCAAATTTTGTAACATGTCATTTAAATTTATAGTTTGGATAGTGCTAGAGATGATGAACATCGATTAATTGCTCGATATGCAGCTAAACTGGCACAAGAAGCTCGATCGGGAATGGTAAGTTAATGTGTATGATCATAAGTTAGTCCTGAAATAAATCTCAGCATGAGCTCATCCGCTTCCTCTTTTGATTTTTAAGTATTCCTTACGGTACATATATAAAGACATAACATTATATCCACCAATTTGTTTGTACTTACCCTTGATTTAAAATATTACCCAATTTATTACTGAATTTAATTTTTAACTGAAATAACTTCCATAAACATTAAGAAGAATAAGCTTTTGCTTTTGCTTCTTCAGCCTCGAGAAGTATATCGTAAGAATTCCTTATCTCCAGATACGGTGAGTTGACGCTTGCAGCATTTCCTATTATTTGTATTGAATTACAGAAGAGATATTTTGTAATTACTTCTATGTTTTGATAGGGTAGAGTACCTTCAGAAGCATGCTTGGGCATGGATTCAACCCGAGCCCAGAAAGAATTAATTAATCAGTTGGAGGCAAAAAACAGGGAGATCATGAGAGAAATAGCAAGGCTGCGGTAAGTAAATATATTTTGTAATTATGCTTGTGAAATTTTGAAGTAACGTAAATAAAACACCTTTGTAGCTTGTATTATATATTTTAATGATTCTTTTTTTAAAAGTATTTGTCAAAATAAATAAATAGATTAAAGGAAATTTAGAGATCGCTGTACTTGCTTTATTTCAATGTTATCAAAACGGTGTTTCCCCAAATTTGAATAGTACTTGGTTTAGCGTTTGTATTTTTAAAGAATATTGTTAATACAATGTGTATTCTCTAAAACCGTAGAAGACAGCAGGAGTTAGAGTGTAGTGGCCATGGCCCTGAAAATCCTGCTCTCATGACAGAATTAAGAGCCTTAAGGATGAGGAAAGATGAACTGGAAGCCCACTTGACAACTTTGCAGGATTCTCGTAGGCAGCTGATGATCCAACTGGAGGGACTTATGAAGATGTTAAAGGTAAAAAAAAAAAACAATCTTTATTTCTTCTTAGTTAAAGTATTTGCCATCGTTTTTAGTATTTGTCAGTTATTTTTCACGTTTCCTGTTTGATGCTAGAATCATCAGTCGTCACCTAGAAGCACACCCAATTCGTCTCCGCGGAGCACTAAGTCTCCGCCCTTACCTCAGAGTAACATGATTGCTACGGCACAACCGGGGGTAAGAAGTGCTCCTCAAACACCAATGAGTGTGACTCCACCCACCGTTCAGTCCATGTCTGTGAGTCAAAGTGAGCGAGTTCACGTGGTTCAAACTGTGCCCGTCTTGCCCCCACCCGTGAACAACGTTCCCGTGGAAAAACAAGAACGTAGCGCTCACAACGTTAATAGCGATAACGTAGTTGGGGTTGGTGACGTAAGAAACGCATTTGGTAAGCTTATTTGATATAATTCTATTTTCGATTAAAAGATTGATAATATGTACACATATAAAACAAACACTGACTAACTGATTTTTATATGAATGCCCTGATTCAACTACTGATCTTGGAAGTGCGAAATTAAAAAAAAAACTTTTCCTTATATAACTAGTAGGGAGAGATTTTTCAAAATTTAATCACTAATAGGAGAAAGGTTAAAGTTTACGAATGTGTCGATTTTCATAAATGCCATTGTAAAAAAGATACGAATTCTGTGTAAACAAAGTCGCCAACAGAAATATACACTTGTGTTTGTTTAAAGGTAACTCAAATAATGGCACCAATACGCCTAGTTCTGTTGGAAGATCTTTACGGAACGATCTCCTAGTGGCGGCGGATTCAGTTACCAATGCAATGTCTACGTTAGTTAGAGAACTTAATTCAGGTATGGAGAATGATTAACTTACTTTATTTATTGCTAGAATTCATATTATTACTTATCATTTTACAAGAAGCGTGAAAGTAATTGTATTGACTTTGTTCATAATGAGAAAAAATAATTAGTTTGAATTAATAGAAATAATACATAATAATCTTATATAAAGAGACTTTATTGAAACCTTAAATTGATGTGACTTATGTATATTTGAAAGTTAGAAGGGTTGTGATATTCTTAACTCATTCTCATTATGAATACCTTCTTTGAAATGCATAAGGAAGCTTTATGAAAGGTAGTTGTTTATATTCTAATTCTCTTCGCCTCTTCTCTCTCTAATTTTAATATTTTTTTTTAATACTACAAAATCGATCTGACACTGAAGAATTTCATAAAACATACTATTGTATGTATATGTTCAAATTAAAACTAATATTTTGACCTTTTTTAATTAAAATGTTTTATTCTGGTATTAATAATATAAGCTGTCCTGTATGCAAATTTGTGAACATTCTTCAGTTGACTGGAAAATATAAATTAAAATGTGATGTTCGACTAGACTGAAATGTACTTATTATGGTTATATGTGGCATGAGGTTGTAGCATTAATTATTATTCAATATTATTTTACCAGTAGAAGTGTCTATGTAATATATTTAGCCTACACTAATGACACAATAAATGGATAGTTTATACTTCCAAATTAATTACTCATAATCATAATATACGAGGGTGGACGCTAAATTCGCGAAATGGGAGAAAAGGGCGCTGAAATTGAATACGGTGTTACTTCTTTTTCTCAATATGTGTTTCCTCTCTTAACTCTTATGCACTTTTCATCACATTTTGATTAAATTGTTTATATTTTCAAAAAAAAAAAAATTTAATTTTTATCCTTGAAAGTAAACATAAATCGCAAATAATTAACAGGTTGCGTTCCACGCAGTTAGGTTTTCATGTTTGGGAATAAGTAAGAATCACTGGAAGCCAGATCTGGGCTAATGGAAGGATAGTTCATAATTTGGAAGCTAATCTTACCAGCCTCAGTAAACGTAACATAACTCTTGTGAGTAGACGCGTTGTCATAAAAAAACTACACATCTTTGCTTATCATTCCCTTTCTTGTTTAATTCACAAAAGAAAACTTAATTTCATCCAAACTGTAATTTGTTAGGTATTGTGTCGATAATATGTTGGGAGATTAGTGATTTGATTTAGTGTCCGTTCCTCGTACATCTCCATAGTGTAAATGTAGACATATAAAACCAGTAAACTCACTACTTCCACGAGTTTTATATTGAATATTTGTTCCTATATTAATTTTTTTTTATTTATGATAGTTGTTTAGGGATTACAAAAAAAATATAATTCAATTGCTTTAAAGTACTTCCGCAACTACTACGTAATTTAAAGAGAGAAGAATTTAATATGTATTACAGAAAACGTATATTTGCATATTTTTATGGTGTTTACGCAATTTTTTACATTCCGTCTTTGACCTTTTATTGGAAACACCGCAACTTTTGTCCATTCTTTTTTATTATGTGCTAATTTATTTGTTTTTTTTAATTTGATCTGGTTAAGATACTTAATTGTCTTAATTCTGCATTTAAATTAAGCTCAAATGGTAATTTTAACAAANATTTTTTTTTTTTTTTTTTTTTTTTTTTTTTTTTTTTTTTTTTTTTTTTTTTTTTTTTTTTTTTTTTTTTTTTTTTTGAAAATATATTTAGTTTGTTTATTTTGATTTTATTTTCATTTTTTCCTTTATTTCCTTTTAATTTTAACACTTATTCACTGAACAAACTTACACCACTCATTTGCAGATATCGACAGTATGAAAATGCTAGTTTAGTTTAGGTAACTGTATGTGGAATGCTGCCTGTTGAACATTTGTTTTTGCAGAAACTTCACTACAAATACATAGTAGTGGTATTCGAAAACCACTGGGTAAGTTTAAAGATTTAACAGTGCTTTGCTTTATATGGAAATTTTATAACAAATTTACAAGTCAACTCTTTATTTAATAATAATAATGAGACTCAGTTTAGGATAAACATCTCAGAAACCACGTTAAATATTATTTTAAAAAACAGGAGAAAAAGGGCTATTAATTGTTTTGCTATTAATAATTGTAGTATTATTGCTTTTTATCGCTGGATAATTCTTATCAGCTTAATTGGAAAAAAAACTGTTATTTGTATTGCTTTTAAAATTCAGTATTCATAATGTTGTAAAATAAAGGATACTTGTACATTTTATGAGGTAAGTTTTATAAAATAACAGTATTGTCAATTTTACCTCTTCTTTTTCTTTCTGAAAGCACCAGGTAGAAAATTATTAAAACAGCACACGTGTGGTGCTTAAAAATTATTTCAAATATTGCTTGTAGTGGATTGTTATTAATATTAAAAATTATTTATTGTACCAAAATAACGATTGAAACTTTTAACTATTTATAAAAACATAAGATCCATCAAATATTTGGTACCATACAATAAGTTGTCTATTAATTATAATGCGAATAGATTTCGAAGACGATGGAGAAGAAGAATCGGAGGGTGGTTGGCAGCAGGAACTTCAAAAACGATATGCCCAGGAAGCCAAGTTTATGGAGGAATTAAGAGCACGAAATCTATCTAGTCCATCCGAATTAAATCCTCAACAATTTCAGAACATTCAGGCCCATCATGTTATTCAAAATCATCAAAATTTTGGTCATATCCAAAAAGTGGAAGATAAAGAAGAATCATCGGAAGGAGTTCCATTAAACGCTGAAAACATTCAACAGCAGGTTGGTGTACAAACCCATTACTAAATCTATAATATATTAGGACCACACAAATACATCTTTTTTAACATTCATTGCATCTCATAGCCTAATAAAAGTGGAATGAGTATTAGCAAAAGTATTAATTTAATAATATAGTTATTAAGCTAATAATTTAATATAGTACAGTGACTAAGCGGAGCTTTTAGTTCCACAAAACAAAGGGGGATTTGCACCCTCTCTAATCTACGTTGGGTAAATTCATGTCGTTTTTGTCTAAGAATAAATACGATGGCTTTTAATATAATTAATCAAATATTTTATGAAGAATTACAGAGGGTTGACGTTTCCCAATTAATGCAGTCTAATGCACAGCTAAACATCCTTGAAATTGAATGATGTCTATGAACATATGCTTTATTATTTTCGAAAGATTAAAAGTGCTCCCTTAACAATTCACTAAATAAAGTTTTAATAAGCATGAAGCGCACATTACGACAATGTAGATAGAGTATGAACTATCGAGACGTAGTTACATAAGCTCATCAATTTTATCGTTTCAAGAAACAACTCGAACAAAACGATGTTAATAATGATGGCTATATGCAAAATGAAGAAAACGAAAACACAAATAAATCAAAAGAAATGCTAGAATGGGAGGAAGCAGTTAGACGTTGGATTAATCGTTAAATAAACTATTCAATTAATGTGGTAGAAGTAAATTATTAGCATTGTATATATTGTCATTATTTCGTCAGAAAAAAAAAAAATTCGTAAACCAACGCTAGGAAATTGTTACTATTATCAAACACTGCAGATAATTATCATTGTCATCATATACATTGTATTAATTTAGTTGCAATAAGTGTAAAATTAAAAGCAAACGTACTACGTATCATGTGAATTAAATAAATTTAATGGTTGATATGCATATAGTTAAAACAGTATTGATACTTTTCATTATGCAGGATGTGTTATGATCACTCATATAAGAAGAAATATGTATCATGCAAAAACTACTTTTAGTAGAAATAATTCTTGAATACAATTTTGTTAATTGTATATACAAAGTGGTTTAACACTATATTTAATATAAAGGTATTATCAATCCAAAAATCCTTTTTTTCACATTTAATTTTTTGTACTTTTAAATCTTTTCATTTGGATCTATTTAATTGAAATGTCATTTGCAGCAACAACGAGTAATCTACATATTATAAGCTATTATAATATGTAAATTAACGTATTTTCATATAGCTTCAAATTTCCATGAAACAAAAAAAATACAAAGGACGATAAATGAATAAATGGGCGATTTCAAATTAAAATAATTCATTGGTTTCTAATCTCAAATCAATTAATATTAAATCGGTTAATTAATAAATTTAATCAGTTAAATTAATTACTTGAGCAATTCAAAAGTTGGTATACCATACCTACCGTTACCTTGGCTTCCACATAGCAATTGGCGACCTTGATTCTTCTCTTTTTGTTAAGTATTTTGGCATGATGGCTTATTGGTTGGCTAACTAACCAAGCTTTTTGACCATAAACGATTATGTCGATGGAATCACTTTTTCAGTCCAATTTTGCAACTATTTTATGTCATTGGACGAGGTTTGAGTAAATGAGCTGACTTCGGCTTTCAATTTTCAGGTCTGTTTTTTGATGCCACGTTGTTAAAATTATCAATTACATACCAAAAAGAGATCGGTTTGATATAAGATGTAAATAAAAATTAATGAATTATTTGACTTTGAAATAACTCATTTACTTTATTTGTATCAGTTTTATTGTCCAAAACCGATAAAAGTTTGTTGATGTTATACTCGTCTAAATAAAAACCGATCATTTAAATAACGAATGCAAGATACTCGCAAAGCATTGTACTGTTCTTTTACGTAAAAACCTATATGTGTATCAATATGGTAGACTAATAAATAATAGTTGATGAAAGAATCTTCAGTTACATTATCTAGTTGTTATAAAACCCTAACAAATAAGTTCTAGTAAGTGTTGTTTCCTTTTTAGTGTTTATTTAAAATAACTTGCGTTAGATAATATGTGGAAAATACAAACATTAACTCTAAAATTACATACGTCATGTCTTCTATTAATTATGACTTTTTAAAATATATTAGACAATATCATTGAGTACACGACAATAAAAGCAGATACTATATTAAAAAAAAAATTAATGCGAATAGCTCTGTGTTAAATAAATGTTAGGGACATTACTACTATCCTTAAAATAGTTTTTATATGTAAAAGGGGAATACACAAATGAAATGAATTAGTAAATGTGAAATAATAATTGGATTATTTTGACAATCTAAGTGCTGCCAAGGCTTTATTGAATGCATCACACCATTCAATTCTTTCCTCTTTTGTGTCGGCCGAAAGTAAATGCCTATAAAAAATAATTCAATGAATTTTGTTTTACTCAAATCAAGAACTACAAAATACCTTATAATTGTCTTTTTCCCTTTTCTTATTGTGACAAGACTCTCTTTATCTTGAGGCTGAGCATCGCGTTCTATTTCAATAAGAAATGTGTTTAATCTTGCACAAATTTCTCTGCTGACTGGTCCTACTTTTTCTGTGGCACAATAATTTAAATCTATAGAATTTATCGGTTCCTGAAACGTTAAAAGTAATATTAAAGCGATTCCACTTTTCATGTGCCACTTTTTACCTTTTTCTTTTCGTCGTCTGGATATTTCCAATAGACGAGAACTCCTTTTTCTAACATACACCATCTACGATGCCACGCTCCAAAACCAGAAACGTCTTCAAACATTGTCAAAAAACCTTTATGTTTCACTGTTATTTGAGGTTTGTAGTTTATAGTCATTTGGACTGTTCCCTCGAGGGGACTCATCGAAGGAGTCTGAAAATGAATACATTATTATAAGATTGTCTTTTCTTAATATAAGATTAACAACAATTTAACTGTATTGTTATGTTTTAATTTTCGTGAAATTATAATTTTGCAATAATGTACCTTATTTAAGGTCCACTGTTTTTTCTTAGTTGCTTGTATGGACAAAACCACATATCCTATAAGTGCAAAAGTAGGAGACCGAACAGCTTGAGGACCAGCTGGAGATTCTTTAGGTGGCTTAATCATACGATTTTCGGCCTTTGGTTTCTTCGGAGTTACCTTTCCTTGCTATAAAAAAAGGAAAACATAGATAGACTATTGCCTAAAAGGCTTAAATAAAAACGGACCTTTTTATGTATGTGATATTTAACTTCGTGTGGTAATATTTCCTCCTGTGCTTGGAGGCAATATACCTCGAAAGTTACAGTGAAATCGCCCCGAACGTTTTCCAAAACGATCGTTCCAGGAATGTTCAGTTCTAGTTCAAGATTTTTAAGTGAGCCAGCCACTGTGGACACAAGTTGAGTAGATACAACTTGTTCATCGCATTTTACAAGACAGATAACGTGATGTCCTTTTCCTCCTGCTGTTATATAAATGGTAAGAAACATTTAAATTGCATAACCGTTTTAAGTAGATTACTGTTAATTTTTACTAATAAGGAAATAGATAAGTATTCGTTTTACTCAATTTTTAATTAAAGTTCTTAGCATAATAAAAAACGTAATATAGGATAGACGTAACACTATAGATGAAGAGTTATTAATATTTATTTGGAATAAAACTACTTATGTCAGTAACAGATTTTCTTTCTATTTTTGTAGAAGAGCAGATCGATGACATTTTGAGACGTTCATACGTGATTTAAATGGGCAAAAAGGTAAGTTCATTTAAAGATTCATTTAAATATTAATACTTTACAAAATAAAGTAATTGAAGTTATTTAATAACAAAATCAAAACATTTGAACTTCTGCAAAATAATTAATATCTTTGGGGGAATTATTAACTCACCTGCGGCTAATGCCCTGGCATATTCCCTCTTCAAAGGCAAAACTACATTTGAAATGGTTAGTGTTCCCTTTTCTACATGAAAGCCAGCAGTTCTAGTAGATTTTGGTCTTAAAGTTCCCTCTACTTTTAATCTTTGTATTTCGTGAAGTGCCGCCTGTCTCCTATGAGCTGTATGGAAAATATTCTTTAAATTTTTTATCCATTAAAAAATATAATAATTCGAGTCACTCACTGGCTAATAATAACACTTTTTCAGCCTCAACTTGTTCAGTTGATCCTGTAAATTCTAGGGTTGAATAACACAAATTAAGAGCCTGGCTCGTTTGTGAAATAACAGTTTGTTGTTTTGATACCTGCAAATTTTAATTTATATTTGCAATATTTCCTTTATAAATGTTTTTCCAACATTATTAGAATATTAACATTAAATGATTTGATAAAAATTTCATTAGTAAAAAACAATTACCTCATCCAAAAGGGCCTGTATTTTTTTGTCAACTCCTTCTTCTAGCGCTTCAGCTTCAGGTTGCTCCTCAAGAGATGGTTGTCTTATAACTTGTCGAACTGGGGTAACGGTGGTCTAAATAAAAATACAAAAGTAAAGTTGATTGTTGCAATAGATATTTTAAAAAGACAAACCTGTGGTTGCTGTCTTCGATAAAAACTTATCGTGTGAGTTAATGGAAGAACATTATCTCCGTCGACTACGTGTGTGGGCATATTTTCATTGATGCTGCTTGAGTTTTGGGTGGTAATTTTTGGCGAATACGATTTATAATTGAACGAATTAGATGGTTGGGCAATGCTACCATTTGGCCGCTGTAAATGAAGAAAAGAATATCATAGAATAATTCGTTTAGTTTATTTTATAAAATTTACCGGAGAAAGTGACCTTCCCTGCTTGGGTGGTGTCGGGCCACTCTTATCATAACTTACGGCCTCGTCAAGGTATCCATCGTCCATGTCATTTAAGATATCAGAAATGTCACTTTCTGTACTTTCATCGAAAATCTGCTAAAAATTTTCATAATGTACAATAAGATGCTGTGTTATAGTTACAGTTTTAACACAGCTTCCCAGGTGAATTTTACAATACTCACCCTTTTTTGTGGTAACTGATTCTTGCAAACTTGTTTTAATAAGTCTCGTCCAAAACTTGTGTTAATTTCTGATCCTGAATCGCTTGTATTCTCTCCAAAGCTAAATTAAAATGCACAGTTCAATAATTAAAAATAAAATTATGCAGATTTTTGAAACAAATAATTTAAAATAATGAATTCCATAAGAATCATATGTTTCATTAATAAACCATGTTAATTATCCCCTTGTTAGTAAGTTCTATAGAATCCAGTATCAAAAACATTTAGGTAAAGGATTTAAAGAACACACTTCTTAAACATCAATTTCATTTATTTTTTTACCAGTACGTACAATAAATACTTGAAATAGAATAGAAGCCGTTAAGTACTAAACACCCCGTTTTTGTATTAATAGAATATTAGAAATATTCCGCAAGATAGAAATTTCGAATGCATATGCGAAATACGACGTAGTACTTTCACGTAGTAAAGTATTTGCAAAAAGAGCGCACTGTAACTATAAACCTGGGGAATATTTCTTCAATAGTCATTGTGAAATAAATAATTAAGTACACCCATATCAAATAATTTAA